CATTTTACATTACTCTCACCCCCTCCCCAGGAGAGAGGGAAAACACCAGTCAGCATTTCCCTTCTTCCCCCCACTTTAATTCTCAATCCCTGCTCCCTTTTTGTGTCCGGAATGGGAGTTCTGCCATATTATGCAACAGGAGACCCTCCCTGAACTTGGAGATCCACTTGCTCACTTCTCCAGCACCCTGGGGAACATACTTATCAGACCAATGTACTGTTCTTGCATCCGGACTTCAAAGAGGACGCCACAGCACCTATCACGTGAATGAAAGGTGCAGCTTTTCCTTGCACCACCCCGTGACAAAGATCGCCGTCATCTGTCGTGAGAACAATAACTCTGGTCACTATTTCCAGCAGCTATCGCTGTGCCTAACACAGCAGCTCTCGGACGGTCATCTAGTTTCAGGGCTGCACGGGACCCCCCACAAGAGTTGTGGGAGTGTGGAACAAGATACCCAGCCATGATGTTGAAGCCGATACCCTGGTCGCTTTTCAAGAAGTGGCTGGATGAGATCCTGGGATTAATTAACTACCGACTACCAAACGGCCCCCTCTCGCTCTTAACCTCTCTTGTTCTCACAAACGCATCTGCAAGCGATTCCGATTCTCCACGGCAACCTCCCCGACCCCAACCTCCAGGCCAAGGCTGGGGAGACCGTGAGCCGCGGAGCTCGGCTGGGTCACCGGGGCGGCAGGTGGGGGACCCGTGACTACTGGGCTTCTTCACCCCGATGAGCAGGGACAGACAGCGAGCGCGCCCCTGCACCCCAGCCCGCAGAGGACCTGATGGGCCAGCCGGGCCCGACAGGAGCTGGGGTTAGTCCAGCGGGTGCCAACCCTGGGACCGAGCAGCGGAGGAAATGGGACATTTGGGTTTAAAAGGAAACTGGATGTCAGGCAAGGGACAGAGTTGGGGATCAGGCTGGAAAGCAGTGGAATGATTCAGAGATGGGGAGGGAATGATTAAAAAGATGAAACCATTTCAAACCCAGCTGCAAGACAACTGGCCCCCAGATCTGCGCACATGGCAGGAGGAATCTTATGAAATGCCCATGCAAGCAGAGGATCGCACAGCAGTCACAGCTTTCTCCAGCTCCTGTTAGACTGTGGTGTTGGCAACACCTCCATGGAGCCAAGCACCAACCAGCCTCTCCTGGTTCGAAACCCACTGCTGAAGGCTTAAGCAAAAAGACACTGGCCGAATTCACGGGGCAGGGGGGAAACGGGGATGGACGCACGTTTGGCGGTGCATAGTTCAAGCGAGACTTACTCACTGAATCAAAGCTCAAAAAAAAGACCCAAAACAGGGCACGGTTTCTTCTTCTTTCATCATCGCCATTTTCAGGCTTCAAAACAGATCGATCAAAGAGGTGATCATATGTCTACTAGATCCTTCGGCACATCCGTTTTTTTCCAAAAAAGCTCGGCGACAGACCTCGGCTCCTGACTGTCGACCCTTCAGTTCCCTCACGTGATTTACTGGATGTGGGTCTGACCACAGTCTGGCCAACTGGAGGACTGCAAGACTGCAGGCAGAGCCGCCTCCCAGCAGAGCACAGGCTTCAAAGGGACTCAAAGGGAAGATTAAGGTCATAACAGGTGGCACTGCTAGAAAGCGCCACACCGAGAGAGAGAGAGCACTCAAAACTACCCGGGAGGTTAAAGGAAAGGGCAGGGAGAAAGCTAAAGCATGAGAAAAGCATAAATCCCTTCATTAAAGACCATCTCCCTCCAAATGACCCTATCACACTGGGGGTCAAATCGAGTTCAGTCTCCCCAAACCTTTTGAGTTTCAAGCAAGTTTGCAACCCCCTGAAGAAAACTGCCCTGCAGTGTAGCCAGCATAATCCATCCTAGCCGTCTGGCTCTGCTAAGGGCAGTGGAAGCGAATGGGTCCATTCTAATCGACCGCATTCCTCCGAGCTACAGACACCAACTCCATCTTCTGCCAGACGTGTGCTTTGAAAACCTAACGAATCCGCAAAGCCTTCACTGCATAATGATACAGCGGTTTCAAAAACAAAGAGAGAAAGATCATCTTAATCATAACTGGACCGTAAAAAGTTGCGCGTCCTTAGTGTTTCTAAGTGAAAGGGAGAAGAAATATCAACCTTTCAAAGGCTATTCCTCAAATAAAGAAACGCTCAGCTTTTATTCCATCCCAGGGAACCAATAACCTGGGATAAAAAAAAGAACTGAATCAAGTCTAAGTAGTTATTTTCGGTCCCATTTCTGGGCGAATGAACGCAGACAGACAACCAGAGGAATACCGCGCATCAGCTATTTTTGGCAACATATCAAAACCACCGAAAAGAACGTTTTTGTGCACGACGTGTGCGCAGAAGATGTCTGAAAGAGTTAAGAGTGATTTGTGCAAAGGGCCCCGACTAGACCAGAAAGTCGCTTAAAACAATCCCAACGTTTGCAAAGTTATGACACTTTGTTTTCTCCTGCCCTGGTCGCAAAATAAAAGAGGGCAGCGGTGAGAGGCTTCCCCGCGGGTAGTTATTAACTGCGCCACGGCCGGCTGGCGACTGGCCGGACCGAGAGAGGCGGCAGGACTCCCCTGACCTCTGGCCGGAGCGCACCGAGGATGCGCGGCCTTCCCCCGGCGACACCACCAAGTGAGCTCCCGGAACAGATCCCAAAGCAAAGTCCCGGGCTGGTGCTCCTATCAAATCTTCTCCCCGGGAGCTGGCGGGGTGGCGCTCGGGCGCTTTTCCACAACAGAACTTTGGACCTCGGCGTCAAAAGAGAGGAAAGAAATAACCAGACGCGTTGCCCCACCACCACCTCCGTTCTGTCACCTCGATGTCTGAATTCACACTCTCGCGTCAGGAGACGTTTGGTCCCAAACCCGAGAGGAGAAGTTTCCCCCTCTCTCTCTCTCTCTCTCCCGGTTCTCTGCTAAGCGTCCCGCACCGGCGGAGCAGGACCCGGGGGGGTCCCGGTGGAGGTGACGCTACCGGGGCGGCGCGGAGGTCCGGTTTCGGAAGCCGGGCAGCCAAACACACAGACACACATACACACGTCTGTACCTCGGTGAGACACTCCAGACAAGAGCTCCCCGGGTACGTGCATCTCTCCTTCCTCGGGACGGGCACCAAACAGTGACTCGACACCAGGCCAGCGCGTAACCCTCAGCTGTCATGATGTGACCCGGAGTGGCGGCGGGGACCGGGGAGCAAGACCGGGCGCTTTCCCGACCCGCGTCGCTGCCGCTGGTTTGCTTTTTTTTCCTTTATTGTTCCTATTTAGGATTTTGTCTCCAGCCGCGATGTGAAGCTCAAGTGTTGCAAAATTAATCTGAGGTTGAGGTTG